GGAAGGGGAAGGGGGAAATTGGCGGGGTCTGGAGCCTAGGGGCAATGTTCTCACAACTTGCCAAATGATCAACTCGCCTGTTAGTCAGCGGTATTTTCAAGCAGCTGAAGAACTTCGTCGATGCTCCTGATGTTTTGAACGGATTTTTTCGAGGATAGGGACTGTATTCTTCTTCAAATGTAATGTATGAAGTCAGTATCAGTTGAAAATATATTCTATTGAGTGCGAATGATAATTTCAGTGTGAGAAAATTAGCCAAAATTGTAAGAAACGACGGTAAAAGACTTCGAGTTCAGATAGGTTTTACTTTTGGCTTAGTCAATAAAGGATTTATTATATACAAAGCAAAAAGATTTCGCTTTAATAGGAATCCAGAATGAATTGTTTATTTTGAGAGTCGAGAAAGAAAGCCAGCTGTGTTTGTAACACAGTAAACCCAAGAGGGTCCTTTGATTTTACTTTGTTTTGACTGTCTTCTGCCACTTCATTTTACAAATTTTTCATGCTGAACGTTTCATTTTCTTTTACTTGCACCAGAGGTTGACTCTTGGTGTTTTCGTTTAAAATTTTGCGCTGGTAATTTGTGCGCGGCTGGCCAGATTGATCCCCTTGCTCACGCTCAACGTTTGACCTCAGGTTTCAGTGGTTGTGCAGTTATGCTGTCCAGCCAGAATGCTTGGCACCTACCTCCCCAGCTGCGTCTAATCTTAGTCACCAGGCTCCACACTTACGACTGCGGCTATAAAGAAGATTTCTAGTGTGACATTCGTCATACCTTCTCGTCGCAAATGAGTCGATGTCTACGTCTGAAACAAACCGAACATATACTAGCTTATTACCATCATTGACTGAGGGCTGAGGACTTTGACCTTGAAATTGAACTTATGGTCTGGTCTATTTTGATTGAGAAAAGCTTGCTCTATCAGTTCTTGTAGGTTTTTTCCCTTGGAAATAGAACTAATTTTGTGATTTTCTATCAATGAGGACAAATTGACACAGTAAAGTAAGATATAGTGAACTAATTAGTTATTTAGCTCTAACAGGTTATTATGTGCTTGTATTGCTTGCCTAACTACAAGCTTTCACATGTTTATCGATCAGAAACAAAGAAAAACTAATGCCAATGATAAAACGCCCATCATTGTAAAGTTTCTTTGATAATTATTCGTTACGTTACTGGCTACGAAGGTTTTAGTGTCTCTTGAAATTGTGAATTTCTTGAAATTGAATTTCAAGAAATTTGAATTGAATTTCTTGAAATTCTCTTGAAATTGTGAAATTGTGAAATTTTTTGTCATTTGTGTCCCTACAAAAACCGCGCCTTCCTGAAAGAAAGTCACTTCTAAGCTCGTTCTTATCGGACAGGCAAAAGAGGTGTGCCGTATGAACGGTTGAAGAATTTGATAAAATCTGATGAACTCACGTTACGCTTGGGTTGTCAGAAGTTTCTTTCCCAGTTTGTTCTTTTTCGTGGATCACTTCGTATCGTTGATAATTTCCTTTTCTTCTTTATCTTTTTATTATCACTATAATTATTGCCATAATTATTATTTCATAATTTTTTGTTGTACAAAACGTAACATTGTTAATTGAATTAAGATATTAGATGAAAATCGAAAGTAAACTATTTTACATGCAGGTAGTAGTGAGGATAATATTTCATCTTTATTTTTCCTGTTCATTTTCGCCCAGTTTTTCATCTGTTAGTTTTTCCCCTACACTCTTTTGATTGGTGATTTATGTGTTAGCTTTCAAATACAATTTGAAAAGATTCAAAAGCCCATGCCTCAGAAGCAATATGGGATCTTTTGGGTGCCATTTCCGCACAACACTCAATAAAGCAAATGGAGAATGAGGTGAGACGGATCGATTTGGGAAATGGACCCCTCAATGGGCGAACATTGCTACTGAAAGGTAACAGTGACCTACCCCACCACAGGGTGCCCACACAAGCGGCGTGTCTGGTATAAAGAAATGTATGTCTGGTATAAA